TATCTGTAACAAAAGGCTTTACTTTCCAGCTCACTAAGATCTACTTATATAATACAATATTGTGTTGGTTTGTTTTTAATGTAGAATGTTGTATGTGGCCTTGGGTAATTAAAAACATTTCTTGAAATATGGTGCTTTTAACTTTATCATGCTGGAATTGCTTCTGCTGGTCATGAAGAATTGAATAACACTCATTTGTCCTGTAGGGTGTTGACTCAAACACATGATTTCAATTCAGATGACAGAGTTGTTACAAAACCCAGCTGTTGTCCCTGCTCCTCTTTCCACTGGTTGCTTTCTCTGTGGCAGAGATGGCTGATCCATGAAGCAATTCTTTAACAGCCACAGTTTGTAGCCTGATTTATTCAAGTAAACCAATGGTGACTTTAAGTTGTTTTAATGTAGTGGGTTGGTAAATCTAACAGCTCAGGAGCTGCTTCCTGTGTAAATCATCAGTGCTAATATAGCAGTGGCAGTCTTTGGAGAAGAGTGTGTGCCTGGTAGGATGTTTAAGCTGCTTGTATTGGTGGGTAAATGTTCTCTGCTTCTGATTCACAGCTAACCGGAGAAAGAATCTTTGCAGTGGTCTGCCAGCAGTTGCAGAGTAGCAGCAGAAAACTGCTGTCCAAATACCTTTCCCTTGGCTCAAAATGATTCATCTCTTAAGGCAACTTTCTCCAGGAGCTTTGGTTATTAATCGTATCTGGAGAAAAGGCAAGAAGAAACATTAAAACAGATACACTTCTTTGGGGTTTCCATTTCCCCAAGATTGGAAGAAGACCAATTCTTAATCATTTATGATTTTTGAAAAAGGTGTATAGTGAACATAGGAATAGGAGCCAAGAAATGTATTGACCAGGGCTGATTCTGGTGAACAAATCATTCTGATGTTAAATGGGGAGCTATTCTAGCAGGGCTACCAGGTAGGCTGCTTGGGAGGGAAGGAAAAAAAAAATGGGCTTGGTTTTGGGTGGGGGTGTTCTTGGGAAGGCTGCCAATTTTCCTTGGTTTCCTTTCTTTCCCTTTTAGCCCTTGCTGAGCTCACAAGATGAGGGTTATGAACTTGGTTTAATTCTCACTACAGTCAGGAAAGCTAACATTGATAGCGGTAGGTGAAAGAGACAGACTTATTTTAATAGGTTAGTGTCTAGAATAACCTCAAATGGAGGCTTTTTGTTTATTTGTATTTAGATAACTACGGTGTAAACTTTAGATTTTTTGCCTTTGGAACAGAATTGTTTTCCCGAGAAGTGGTCCAAATAGCAGAACTTAATTCTATTTTTGTTTTTGATTATGCCTTTATAGCCTTTCTTTGGAGTTATTTTATAGAAAGGTAAAAATAGAATGCAGGTATCTTATATCTAATAAACTTGTGGACCAGACACTTCTCTATCCTTTTTTTTTCCTGTAGCAGGATTGAATTCCTTGCACTACAGCAACCATAAAGTCATTACACTGCATTTAAAACAAAATGCAGAAAGGGATGACCTTTTGCTTAGGACTCTGTATTGTTTGTATTACTAAGCCTTATCGCTGTCTTTCAGCAAAAGCCAGTTTAATTCTTAAACATTTGTACATATAGTATCTGTTCAGAATTGCCTATTGTTAGCTGTCTGTGTTCTCACTGATCACAATGCTGCGCATCTCCACAATGCCTGCTATTTGCCCCTTGGATCCTCATTGTACAGGGTAACTGTTATCTTCCTTGCTGATAGCGTATCACCAATGGTACCAGTTAAGAGCTGAAAACACTTCCAGCATAATGGAAAGTTCCACTTTCGCCAGGATGACTCACTAATTAATTAACCCCTGGGATGGAGAGGCTTCCTGTGCCAACTTAAGAAAAAGTTACGGGAAGATACTGTTATATAGCAAAGGAGAAATTGATTTGAAGAATTTTATCTGCCTTGTAAGAATTATGTTTTCTAATACTATCAATCTGCCTGAAACAAGCTTGGAAACTAACTGAAAAATAGATACTTTGGAAGCAGTTGCTTCTCTGAATTAACATCTTTCTTTGCTGTAGGAGCAAAAAGACAACTGCTGCTAACACTGTGAGAAGAATGGACTTGTAATAGGAGTGTGTGGAGGCAAGCAGTACAGGAGGCAGTAAATATCTTTTCCTACCAGCAAGCCACAAGCTTTTGGCTCTAGATAGGTCACTGTTTAAATATAGCTACCAAGTGGCCACTTGGGCTTGGTTTTGGGTGGTGGTAGGCGTTGGGAGAGCTATGGGGACCATGGAGAGGCAAGGGTGGATTGCCCTGCAGAGAACTCTTCATGTTCCTGTCAGACATTGCTGAAAGCGAGTGAGTGGCTGCAGTGTGGTTGCGCCATCCCAGCCTGGTGTGGACGGAGTGTCGGTAACTCATTACTTCAGCAGATTTGTCTTGTGGACTTCAAGAAATCTTGTGATGCCTTTATAGTGCTGGGGGCGTGATTTACTTTTTATTAAGGAATCTGTGCCAGATCTGTCAAATTAAACTTGGTGTGCCTGTAGCAGACTTGAACCAAGCAGAGTGGTTTTGTACATGAAGATAGAAGTGATGGGTGTGAACTTCTCCAGTGAAGAGCTGTATTGTAACAAGGCCTGAGAGCTAGAAGGAAGCTCCAGAATTTGAGATTTAATTCCCAGTAGTTTCTGAAATGGAGCTTTTGCTGCAGAAATCCCTCTCCCTTCAGGACAAGGAAGGAGTAAAAGATTCGGGGAGATGCTTCATTTAAGCGAGAAGTGTTGTTTGGATTTCTGGCTAGTGATCTGTTAACATTTGGGCATTTCAGACTTGACAACTGTTTACTGAAATACCAAAATACAGATATTTTTAATGCCCAGTGGTGCTGCTTCATTGATTTCCCCTCAGAGGTACACGTGCAGGGGTGACTTCTGTGTTTTACTCCAGTGAGTGGCTGTTCACACGAAATACAAAAAGTTAGGCAGGCTTGTTACCCATTTCTCTTTTTTTGGCTTGTTAGCTCAGTCTGCCATCTGTCTAGGAGAAAAAAAATGGGTGCTGAGCTATGACAGACTTTGTAACCATGCAGAGTAAGTTGGGGGGCATGGTGCAGAAGGGAACATTACTTTGTATAAAAGATGATCTCAGAGAACAAGACTGTAGTTGTATCCATGTTTGTCGTCGGGGAGAAGTGCCACTAAAAGTGAGTAGTTGGGGACTGTAGCACTCGTAAGGATAAAATTATATCTTAAATGTTCCTGTTTGCAGGTGGGAGACAGGGTGACACTGACCAATAGTGCTTCTCTTTATTCCAACTCATTATGTGTTAACCTTGATTGACTATAGTGTGTATGTTTATCAGCTGATGTGGGACAACACAGGCAACTTTGTACTAGAGACTGAAAGCAAATAGAGAGGGATGGGGAAGGCTAATTTTGTTATGAAAATAAGCATGCTAAGTAAAATACAGGTTCAAACTGTGTTTGCTTGGGAAAGCTTATGGTCTAAATTTGACATAGACTACAGCAAGCAACCAGAGAACTGCCATATGGAGGAATAGCAGCTTTGCATTATTAAGATCATACAGTTAACAGCTTAGTTTATAAATTTCTACTGAGCAGGGTCTGCAATTCAGCAGTAGAAAAACTGTGCTTCATGGGGAGGGTTGATTGAGAAAAGGATGGTGAGATGTTTTTGAGTAGACATTGCATGTGCAAAAAGGGTAGGTTGGGAAAAGCTGCCTATAGCTGGGAGAGACACTTAAATCCAGGTGTAAACAAAACTATTTTGTTTGTTACTCAAAGTGACTGGTGGAACTGACAAATCAAATACTTTCAACATCTCACAAGATGAATGACCAGTCTAAGGAAGGTGAAAGTATCACTAACCTTTTGTTTCTTAAAAAAAAAAAAAGAAAAGAAAGAAAAAAAAATAGTTATCTGCAATTCTTTTCGCAGTGTAGAGTGGATGTCAGCAATGCTCTAGGATGTTGTGCTACACTCTTTTTCTGCCCCAAATTAAAATTTAAGTGTGAAAACAGAAATCATGCAGAATCCAAGCTCTGTTGTTTCTCAAAGAAGCAAGATGCTATCATGATGGTCATGGCATGATGCTTCTACATCAGTAGCTGGAAGTGTCACCTGCAGACTACAGAGATTGCTGGCAACCCATAGCAGGGAGCTGCTCCCTCTCAGGAGCCCGTAGCTGCCAAGTCTCAGTCCTATTACACGCTATTCAAAATCAGTCCACTTGCCACCTTTGCCCTACAGCTGTAATGGCTGACACCCATTTGAGGGTGACCTGGAAAGCTTTATGGGAACACTTTAGCTATCTGTACAAGAGAAGCTTATAAAAAGTATATTCAGCTTCCAAATCTCTATAAGGATCCTTCCTGAATTGAGTGCTGTTTTTGTCTAAGTCAGCTCTGTGATAAGCAAAGAATTGGCTCTGGTAATGGCAGAAGATAGCAGGCATTAAACAAGGAAATCTGGAGAGGTAAAAGGGGAAATTAACAATTACAAAGTTATTGGAGACTGTATGCTCAAAATAAAGAAGGGCCAGTTGCTTTTCTTTAATATAAAATAAGCCTTCCTCTTGGCCACCACAATAAAGCACAGGATGAACCATGAGGAGAATATATTATGGAAGGGGAAGAGAATGATGGGGGGGGAAAAAAACAATCAAGTGTGCAGTAATTAGTATCCCACAATCCTGCTCTTTTAAAGAAGTGTTGTACTGGTTCTCTGTTTATGGGTCCATAGAGGAGAAATCCCTGAAAATCTATTTTATTTGAAGGAACTGAGCAAAATGCTGCTACTGTTGAGTCTCAGTACTTCAAATAAATCATCAGCATTGATTATTTTGAATATTTCATGTGGTGACACAAAAGTAACTATTAGACAAGTTCCTGTGTCTTTTAATCAGCTCTGCTGTGTTATTTGTGTGTAAAATCACAAGCTATTTTTTCATTCAGTTGTAACATAAGTGAACAGTGCTTTACCTGTGTAGAAAAATAATTACAAATTCTTCTGTGTTCACAGGTTTTGAATGCAGCCTGAGTCCAAGAAGTATGAAGAAGAGACACCTTCGCTGTACTGGGGAATGGATCCCGTATTTTCTGCATTTGCAAGACTCTATATTAAAGATATAAAAGAAATGAGAGAATCTAAACAAGTGCCAGGTATGTACTTATATGCGCTGACTATGATGTGCACAGAATTATAATTGATTTCTGTGGTGCTCTTTATCAAAGGATTGCAGAATGCTTCACAAACACCAATAAAGTAATTTTGCATGCCCCTAAGCTAAGTGACGTTAGTATCTTTAACAGTTCTAAGAACAACGGGTTGTGTGTGAAATATATGTGAAAAATAAAATCTGCTTGTTCTAATGGTTTTTCTTCCTCTCATATCTATAGATACCCAACTTCTTTTACATTGAGTTAATATTGTGTTTCCTCTGTGTGGTAATGCTTTTTATATTCTGATAAATTCTAAAAATGCTGGTCCTTTCTGGCCATGTGCGTTATATCTTTCCCCGTCTCTACAACATTTGAGAAGGATTTCACGCCTCTTCTTTGTCGCAAAATTTTGACAGTTAATGACATTGCTGGGTGCACGTGTTTTGCTTTTTCCTCTGGATATTAATATGTTATAAAAGAGATACAGGTTTTGAGGCTTGATTTCTAGATACGATAGATATACGACATTCTTCATACATTTGAGCAATCTTATTGTAAATTCTGGCATCTCTGCTGGTTCTTATACCACACCTTTTATTTCCTAACCATTGTTGGAAATTGTTATGCTTTGCATTCTGTTTCCTGCTGGTCTTCAGCCAATATCACCCACATGTGTACATTGTGTAAAGCAACGTGGGTCTAACCTTGAATTTCACTACAGAAGGCTTTAAATAGACTGCAGTATGTTTTCTGCTGTAGAAGGGTTCATTACTGCTCGCTGAAATTTGACAAGGTGCGAGATTATCAGGGAGGTACCCAAGGAACTTAGAATTCATGAGGAAAAGCAGTAAACCCTAAGCAGAGTCTGTGTTTTTTGGTGTTTTGTTTGGGTTTTTCTATTTATTTATTTTTTTCTGCACAGAGACAAGGTACATCTGTTTGGCTCTTTGAATATGCTCTGTTCTTACAAACAGCAAGGGTAACAGCAGTGCTATTCTTGCAGAACCAAAGGACTGGTGGGTTTTTTGCTCTTGTCACAAGCATTTCTATGTACGGAGGGACTTCACAAACTGCAAAGCCCAGTGTATATACCTCTTTGTTATTTAATGTGATGAGAGACTTTTGTCTTAAATCTGTTGCAAGAATTAGGCTACAGTCTGTCATCGATGTTTGTGCTAGAGTGAGTAGTACTTAGAGGCCTTTTTAAAGTGCGGAGCCTTACAGTAGTACTGGTGTAGCAAATGTATCTGGTAAAAGCTGTTCCTGCTTCAATTAGAGACATTTTAATTGTTTTCCAAACAAAATACCAAACAATTCACCATCAGCAGAATAGGATTGTAGTTTGGACTTGGCTATTGGCACATACACATGCAAAAATATATTCAGAAGAATTAAATTTATAAACATCAAACATTTCACAAGAGCAGGAACAGTCCTAGAAAGTACAATCCTGCTCTCTTTTATTTAGCCTCTAAATTACCTGAATTTCCCTTCTCACTTCCCTTCCTGTTCTTTTACTTAAGTGAGTTGTCTTCTGATTCAGAACTGTTTCAGTTTTGTTACTACATTGGGGTTGTTTGTTTTTTTTTTCAAAGATGATCCTAAGGAAGTGGTATCTGTCATGTCAAGATATCAGCCTTTAAAATTGGTGCGTGCTAGCTTTCTCCACTTCCTCTGCATCTAGCGTTTTGCACAACTAAGCTTGCTTGCAATCCTGTATTATTTTCTAAACCAAACTTTAAAGAACAAAATGAAATTTGGCAGAACAAACATCCTGAATTTTGTTCATTCTCCTGGTGCTGTGTATAACAAACCAGACATCTTGCAGCATATCTTATTTATTGGCAACAAATAGTACAACAGAAACACTAAAAAAAAAAATCTTTTGGGGAAGGAAGAAGGTAGGTGCGTGCTGTCAATGTTTCCTGCCTTTAATGGTCTTGTTAAAGGCCAGCTGAAGCTAAGTATATGATTGGCTATAAATCAGTCATTAAGTAATGGTAATTAAGAATGAGTGAGTTGCAGAGAGTTGTAACTAGGAGGAATGGAAAGAAACACAGACTGGATGTCAGGGAAAACATCCTTAGAATGACATCTGCTAAACCGTGGAGCGGCCTTCCCAGGAAAAAGGTGGGATGCCCTTCACTGGGATTGTTTATATCCTGACTGTACAGATTGCCAGGAATTTACTGTACGGAACGGCCTTGCATTAGCCCTGAGGAAATGGACTGAATGACCTAATAAGTTTTTTCTTTCCTTTTTTAAGCATTAAGATTTGATGCCACAATGACTAATCCCTTAAAACAACACAGAGGAAAGCAGTAAACCTGGCCAATTACTCTCCTGCTATAAATGGTGACAAGAGGGCTGGAAACCCTCCCAGATAAAAACAGCAATTGTGTTGTCTTAGAGGCCTTGAAATGAGAGCGGGTGTCAAACTCGGTTGTAACACATAATCACATCATGGAAATGAGCTTTTCTCAGAGTTACCGTGCACCACTGCACTATCAACAAGCGAGGGAAGCTACAAACAGCATAAAAGGGGGTATTAATAATTAAAGCAAGGGCAAACACCTTGGTACTCAGTAATGCTGGCAAAGACATGACCAGAACTTGCCCTAGAGAGCTCTGTATGTATAGCCCCCTATACCGCTGCTGCGGCTTCCTGTTGTGGTAACAGCTTATTAATGTGTTACTTAGTGGGTTACTAGGAGCTTGACTGAATGTGCTTGCACATGGCTTCAAATGTTTAGCATGTTTTTATTGCTACCAATATGAACATAATGTGAAGAAATAAGCTGGTGGGAGAAACAGTTTACTCCTTGAAGTTGTCAGGTTCAACAACTTTTAATAGTGTAAATATAATTTCATCTTTCAACTTAATTCAGGTGGTTTCTCAGAGAATAGGGGTGAAATTCGATGTGAGTTCATGGGGATGGAAAGAACCAGTTTTATTTGGTCTCTGTCATTTGCCAAAACTCTGCTTACTAACTGGGCAGTGAACATAGTGATGTGTTGCTTGTTTGCACAGTGAAGAGCTTGGAGTCTCTGCTCCGCACTCTTACCCTGAAACTGACCCAGGCCTTCTTTTGTAGAGATTTTTGTAAGGTTTAGTGAATAACTATATACACTGGGAGCATCTCCATTGAGGGTTTCTGTAGCAGTGTTTATTGGTGTTCTGGTAAATGGAACGAGAGAAAAGTGGACAGACCTGCTAAACATTCTGTATGCCAGACCTGACCAGTGACTGCATGATTAGTATAGCTGGCTCTAAGATGACAGTGATAGATGTATCCTAAAAACATTGCAGTGGATTTTTATGTGCAAAACTTCTGTTTATGAGCTGCTTGGCTGATCACCTGTGATTTCTTATAAAACTGAGTTTTTTGTCTCTCATACATGAAGAAAGTTAATTCCAGGCTCATTTAAGGCTGCCAGCTATGTAGGACAAGTTATTTTGGGATTTTGGGTTTGAATTTTTTTTTTTATACAGAACATTTTTCTGACTTCCTGTATGGAGCCAAATGTTCCCTTCTGAGTCCCTTGAGTTATCTAGTTCTTAAAGACAGTTATTGAACATCCCAGATGGTATATTTTAGTAAAGCAGCGGTATTCAAAAACTGAAGAAAACACATTGACTGAAAACTAGCCAACCCAGGATATATCTGGAGCTTATTGCCCTGTTATCCTCCTGTTAGTGGACTGTGAAGCTTCAGTGTATAATGTTTACATCTGTTTGTTAACAACATTTGTCACTCTCATGAAAGGGATTACAGCAAGTGGCAGCCTCAGTGCTGTCAAAGTCCACTGGGCTCCGATTCCTCAGTGTTTCCTGGACATGTTTTTATGTGTTTTTCTTACTAAAGCCATCTTTATAGATGCACAAAAATAGCTTTGAAGGGATGTTTTTAGAACTTGTTATTTCAGAAACTGAAGTTCAGGATGCTGTCCACGATGACTGCACAGTGTACTCTGCAATCTAAGTGGGCTGTTTCTCTCCCCCTGCCCCCCATGGCTCCTGTTCTTTTAGAAATGAAAGACAGAATTATGTTAGTTTTCCTTTTGGAAGCTCTGCCTTAATCAGGAACAGCTGCATTGTGAGAAGCTCAAACTGGTTCCATTGTGTTCTATTATTTATTCTGAAGCCTGATGAAGATGTAAAAAAGAAAAAAGCCCCAAACAACCCAAAACCAACCAACAACAACAAAAAACCAAACCAACCCCAAAACCAAACCAAAATGAAACAACAAACCAAACAACTAAAAAAGCCCTAATGCCTGCAGTGAACAAACTGTTTTTTCAGATCCAAATGTACAAGAAAACAGGTTAATACAGTTCTGACACTCCACAAAAGCAAGCTTTTGGTATCCTGAGTAGAAGTGATACTTCTTCCTTCTAGTGTTCCCAGGCCTCACTGATCCAGGGGATTTTTCACATGACTAGGCATTGTATAATTTAAGATACATTAATTATGTAAGAAAGTATGGTTTTTACTGACAAATGTGACTATGTGAGGTAGGATGTTGAAGGAAATAGTTACACTTATCAAGAATGTTTTGTGTCTAGGTATATTCTTTTACAATGGACATCCAGTAAGACAGGTGGATGTTGTCGGGATAGTGGTTCAAACAAAAGAGCGAGATGCCTTTTATAATTACGCAGGTAAGAAAAGTTTCTTTCTTTCTTGCATTTATCAGCCTTCTAATCTTAGTTACCATTAGAACTTAAAGGTTGCCTTATTTGGTCACTGTCTGTTCTTGAAACAACCGTGCTCTTATCCTAATGTGTGTATCTGCAGCTTGGATTGCTTGGCAAACTTAGGGAAGCGTCTGTTTATCTCCTCTTCAAAAGTAGAGAAACAAATAGTTAAAACAGAGTAACTGATTTATTTGAGGTGCATCTAGCAAATCTTAATTTTGGTTATTGCTTTGCCACTGGATCCTACCATCTTCCTCTTTTATATACATGTATGTAGTTCCTTTGGTCAGATAAACGGATTTCACAGTGCCTGCAAATGGGAAGTCACTTCTTCCTTTTTTGAACCTTAGAAATCCCTTCTGACTTTTTGTATGTTTTGTCGTATCTTGGAGGCAGCTTTTAATAGCAGTCAGGAGCTTGTTTATATTTAGATGAATAAGAGTCTTAGCAAATCTAACTCAAGCATCATAGTACCAGTCCTTGCCAACACCAGCTGGGAGTTGACTTCTCCCTATTGCTTTTCCCAGTATTCAGGCTACTTTTTTAACATGGAAACATCTGATAGTAATTTTGTTCAGCTGTCTTTTTCATCTGGAGAAAAAGCAGAATGGAGTAGTGGTGATGTGGCAAGTTTCAAAAGGTGGTGGAGGTCATCTCACAGTAGGAAGGGGGAGCCAAACACATAGGTCCTATTGAAGCACTTGAAGGACTCATGTCCTCTGCCATGGGTTTCCACAGGGTGGAGGTAAGTCGTGGAACGCCTCTTCTTACCCAATTCCCTCACTTATAAAATTGAGTCAGCAGTTATTCCCTGACTCACAGGAACATTGTGAAGATACAGCTTGCAACCAGGTCCCAGCTTCCACAACACCTGCAGTTGCACCACACTGCTGCAGAGTAGCATTAACTGCTAGTGCATATAGCATACCCCACACTGGGTGTGGCAGCTTAGAGTTGACTCTGTGCTCAATAGAAATGCCCCTACAAGTTTCATAGAGTGGATATTTTCTAGCTTTTTTTTAAAGTCTGATTTCTGCATGTCTGTTATTACCCTGCCATTATGCTAAATAACAAGTTGACAGTAAATATTTTGAAGCACAAGTTTCTCTGGCACTTGAAGTGGCACAGGCTACTGAGGTGCTAACAAGCACCCAAGTTAAAAGGCGGAGATGTAATTGATGGTATAATGAAGTGTTGAAACAGAAATTGAACATCAGCTATTATTCTTTTATTGCACTAGTATGCAAATGCAGTTATCACTTCATGAGAACAGAGGAAGACAGAATCAAAATGGCCAAGGCAAAACCAATTCTATGGGCAAGGGTTTCCTACACTACTCTGTGTTAGTTTGGATGTAAACTTGTTGGAAATGTTGGATGGGGCAGAATATGGAGGAACAGAAAAAAAGAAAAGAAGCTGCAGAGTAGTGGAATTACGGCCTTAGTGTTAGATCAGCTGACCTTTAAGTACAGCTCTGTGAGCCTGGCTTCCTGCTGTCCTTTCACATCCAACTCCAGTCTTTGTTCCAGCAGTTCCTAGTTTGAGATTTCAGGCTACCTGCCAGGGTGCCCCTCCCCAGCCTGCCCTCCCATTCAGGCAGGCTGACTCTGCCAGCGTAAAATTGTGACTTCTTAGAGAGTTTCCTGCTTGTAACTTCTTGCATCTCTCAGTTCAACAGACTCTTGTTGGTGAGTCACAGAGCAGACGCCCGCATCAGTTGGAGTGCTGCACACCGCTCAGTACTTGCTCACTTTCCATCTGCTTAAAAGCGACTTATAAAGCAATTTTGCCTTTGTACTTTTTCTGTGATAGAGAACTGAAATGTCTTTGTGTCACCACTACTATCTCCTCCCTCATTTCCTATCTGTCTACTTCAGAATACACACCGCTCATTTTCAGAGAATCCTAGGACCTCTCTGTGCTGAAAACCATACAGCCAGAACTGGTGAAAAAATAGTAATTATAAAAGAGTGAACTGATTCTTTCCTGGCTTAAAAAAAATACATGCTGTGTAAAACCTCATTTTGACATTTTGATTTGATTGTTTATTGCTGCTATTATGATCAATTAGAAGGACATCTAATTAAAGTGTAGCTTTGAACAAGCTCATGTTTTAGCTAATGCACCTTTCTGACCTCTTTTTTTCTTTCCTTTTTAAAAAAAACAAACATCACATGTGGTTTTCCTTATACTCAGAACTGTTTTGAAGGCACTTGCCTTAAAAACAAAGGAAAAAAAATCTCACCAGGATCTTAGTAGGCTCATGCAGGCCCCATACTCTTTTTGTTATAAAGAAATAAAAATGAACACAATTATCTCATTTACCAGTAGCTCTGAGAGTGCTACACCTCAAATAGTTAATGTAAGAGTTTAAAAAAAAAAAAAAGCGAACCTCAAAACCCAACCAAACAACACAGAACAACTCAAAAAACCCACAAAAAACCCAACCGAACAAAAGTTTAAACCCAAGGAGATGAGGAGGGGGAGCACAGGAAGTTTTCAAAAGTTTGTAGACCCCTTGAATACATTTAAAACAGATTAACATTCTCCTGCATAATTAGAATAGAATTGCAAGCATTCTCATTCATTTGTGCTTCAGGAGTTTGTCTTTTTGCTCAAATATTTTTCTTGTGAACTGGGAAAACTGTTTCGGAGCCTTGCTCTTCTACCAGATTCCCTGTGTGGTTAAGAACAGGTCAGTCTCTCTAGGACTTCACTGTCAACTGTTACATTGATGAGGAGGAGTCTGGCCTCATCCTTCAGTCTAGTTTGTTTTGTTGCTAAGCGCTTCCTAAGAAGCATATCAGTCATACGCTGGAACATCTAGAAGCTGCAGTAACGTGTAAGAGTGAAATGTCATCTGCCCTGTTTCTTATTGCTGGATTGCATGAATGGCTTGGCATGGTGTATGGGGGCTCCAACTCCTACTAAAATGGTTGCTTTTTGCCAATATCAGGGAGAGGAAATCCTACGAGCTAGATCATTTTCTGTGTTCTGGTACAAAATTAAAGCTGCTGAAATAGCTGCAGGAGCTCAAAAGAGGCATAGCAATGAGATGAGCATACATATAAATGTTGTGTGTTTGTTATTAGGAATGTGCAGCTAAGCCACTGGGAAAACAGGAAGGCAAAGACAATGATTTTAAATTGGACCCCCCCAAATTAGGGAGATTATTTCAAAACACATGAGACAATGCAAAGGCATTCTACTTTGATGCTATGGTTCCCAGAGGAAATGACTGCAGGTACCAATCAGTGCCTTCCTGGTAAACATTGCTGCTGCTTTTGTAGTCATGGATCTGGTTTAAGGAGCAGAAGAAAACCACAGATTCCAACTTGTGAAGAGTGGAAGCTCAATCTTGGAGATAGCTGCATGCAAGGAGCAAAAAGCTTGGAGCGTTAGCTGGACTGGAAATGTGATCCTTGCTGTGGTTTGACAGACATGTAATGCCTTTTCATTTAGAGACTGTTATACATGTTAGACATGCCGTTTATATACAATCTCTTGATCTGTAGAACAGTTGATGCTTCTGATAGTGGGGGGTTTTTGTGCATTTTTTTGGTTTTTTTGTTTTTTTTTTTTTTTTTAGTTTTCTTTGGGTTTTGTCTCTTTCTGCTGTCCGTGACAAGGCAGTGCCTGTGGCAGAAATTGCAGAACTTACTTTGATTAGGTACTAGCAAAACAGGAAAAGCTAGCCAACTGCCATGCTCAGGAGAAGGTGTTAAGCTTTTTGGCAACGGAAGTGGCTTGCATGCTACCAGTACATATACTTTAAGTTGGGAATTCCTGTCCTAGACCAGAACTACAAGTGTGTGCTGTCCTCTGTCCTTCCTGGCTAGAGGAGTTGCCTTTCTATTCTCTGGAACATCATCTTGTATGGGAAAGGCCAGCAGACTTTGTGCACAATATTAGCGTGGAAACCAATGCAGCAGGAGGTAGCAGCACTCCTAGTCTACTCACATGACTGTACCTCCCAATGTTGAAGTTTTGCTGTTTTCTCACTGTTACAGTAATGCTTCTGTGTTTTGTGCCTGGCTTCCTATTTTAATTTGCCTGGCTTTAGCTTTCAACACTGATTCTCCTTCTGACCTTGTCAATGACATAAAAAACCCTTTAGTATCCAATATATGTAATGAAGCCTCATAATTTAAATTAGTGCTTGATTCTTTTTCAAGAATATACCTATTACTTTGCTGACTATGCACACAAGTGTGGTATCTGGTGCTGAGCTACTTTCACAACTGAGACAACTGTGGAGATTATTTCAGAGGTATAAGTAGGGGTTGAGTACCCACTTTCCCTTTCTAACTGGTTGGAATGAGATATCCTTGGCAGTCATCTCCCTACATATCTATGTATCTTCACTTCTTGGAACATCACTACCTGCTTTCTTACTCTGTAATTCTTGCAACTTTTTTTTTTTTTACAGTGGATGATAGTACTGGAGTTATAAATTGTGTCTGCTGGAAAAATCCCATGGTAGCAGAAACATCTTTGTCAGGTAATTTATCAAATAAATAATTCCTCTTTTGACTGTACATTTTTGCTCATGTCTGTCTTATGTAATTTAGTAAATGATCAGACTTGCAGAAAAGCAAATCCAACTTTTTTTTTTTTTTTTTTTTAGCATCACATCCTATAGCCTGGGCCATTTTGGGAGTTTTGTATTACTTTTTGTGTTGTGTCCAATGGTGATGCTAGTAAAACCACTGCATTATGACCTGTCATGCCTTTTCCTTATCTGAATAATATGGTATTTCAATTCTATGCTGTGACCTTGATCAGAAAATCCTTTTCTTATGGTTCTTTTTGTGAATTCATCTAGTGAGGAACTAGGCTGGAAATCTGCCACGTGCCACGGCTGCTGTTTCCAAAATCAGGGAAAGCTTGATGTAAAAGTTTAAAAACTCTGATGTCTGTGGAATAAGCCTGTATATACAGACAGATAATTCAGACTTACCTACAATTAACAATGATATGACAAGTAGTATAAACAATCCCAGCTGAAATCTAGAATACAGCTATCACTTTTAGAGAGGTGATGTGGTGGCACAGCTTTCAAAAAAAAGTAATAAGGACCTACAATCAAATCAGTTTTTTGATCAGGAACTTAAAATCATTAAAGAAATTGCATGAAATACTGCTTGAAATAGAATGAGGATGCAGAATGCTTGTTTCAGCCTTGTGTTCTTACTTTACATGTTCATCAGTAGTGCTTGAATGGGCACTGTGTTATTAATGGAAATGAATTCATTTGTACCTGCTAAAGAAAACAACTCCTAGAGGGCACAGGAAACTTTCTTCCAGCCTTTTGTAACTGTGATCAGGGACACTTGGATCATTAATCAGGTTTTAAGTTATGAAGAATTTACTCTTCTGCAAAGTTGTGTTATGTAAATGTGAAGTTCTGTCAAGTTGCATTCACCTCAGTGTAGACACCAAATTGCATCACATGAATGTTTTGGCCCCACCTCAGATGACTCACTCCTCTTTTATGTAAAAAGTTCAGCTGGCCTTTCTTTTCCCCTCTCATCCATCTTAGCATGACAAAACCCATTTCAAATTAATCTCTCAATTTTGCAACCCATCTGTGACATTTTCAATGGTATATCAGTATCTCCTCCCTTTTACACTTTCCCCAGGTGAACTGTTTAAATAAATATAATACTGTAAACTAATTTTGTCACCCAAAAGTTTTGCTACCCAGGACACATGATGCCTGGGACCTTACCCCTTTATTAATAATATGGCTCCTGTAGTGCTTAGGTGTTTGGATGAATGCTAAAGGACAGTCCTCTTGGCCTTAATGCCTAATCTTGTTTTCCCCCACTTCTTACAGGTCGTCCAAGCACACCCAGCGGTCTTACTGTGCTTGAACAGATGAAGAAACTCCAAAAAATGGTGAGCCAGAAAACCAAGCTGGAGATCGGGGATATTGTCAGGGTCAGAGGTCACATCCGAACCTACAGGCAACAAAGAGAAATTCAGGCTTCATGTTTTTGTGAGTGTTATGGATCTGTGACATATGTAACTTAGTTGTCTGAATTTGTGAGAAGATCTAAACTGTATGTAATTCAATGAATAATTTCCACTTCATTTTCTGGCATCTCCTTTTTCTAAAGAGATTTTCATCTGTATGTCTTTATTTCAATTTTAGCAGTGTAGGGTGAGAAGACCCACTACTTAATGTGTGGGATTGGATTGCCTGTAAATGAGGAATTCCTGAAAAATCTGTAAAAGATTACTAGCATGCATACAAGAATGCTATGCAGATACTGTGGCTGGGTATCTGTGAGAGTGACTTGCTCTTCAGTTTTCTTTGTGTTCAAGTAGAACAGCCAAAACCCATGGGAAGGGAATTGGTGACCTTTCTATGTCACACTTCATCAAGAATGTTAGCTGCTTTGGAGAAATGGTTGCTGTTTGTCACAGCTTGTATGATCCATTCCGTGAGCAGACAGCAGCATATGGGCACATTGTACCACTGAAGCCAGGTTCTCCTAAACTCTCTGGCTCTGTAGAATGACTGAGAAATGGTCTTCGTCTTCAGTCACTTGGGCACAGATGTGCAGGTGCTGCCCCTGTATCGGATGGCTCTTTGGGCAGCAGGGTTCTGCAGTCCGCTGCTTATACCCTCAGAGCATCCGGTTACATAATTTCTTCTCTCCTCCATGTCTGTGCTCTTTTGTAAGTGTTGGTTTTCCCCAGTAAAATCTTTCAGAGATAATACTGGAATGATCCTTTTGATGGAGGGAAGCCAGTCTCTTAAAAACGCTGTGTAGCTCAGATAAAAGTCTGTAGATTTTTCAGCTCTAGCTAAAATCTGAGAGGGGATTCAACCCTCCTTCTCAGACAGAAGATTTATGAATATATAACCCATTCAAGGGCTGGTAATAACACCATTCTTTCATTAAAGGAGAGCCACGCAATTCAAATTGCCTCTAAATTGCTTTCGTTTCGGCTGAAATAAAGCTCCTTACTATTATCTAATGGATAAAGACTGCTGAAAGTAAAATAGAGATCATAAATTCCAGTTAAATAAGTTGTCAGACAAAAGCATAATCTGCAATGCACCACAACACCATGTAAACTGTAAAAGCAGGTGTGGCCTTTGTGCTTTTGTTTTCATTAAAAAAAACCAAGAAAACCCCCCAAAAAACCGAACAAAATTTGCCAGTTTAATACTGGCATGTGAAGCTCTGTTGTGCTGCCTCAGGTATGCTTGCTTAAAAGATTGGTATAGCAGTTCTGGCCAAGTATGCGTGTTTTTTCTGCTCCAGATAAAGTGGATGATCCTGTGTGTGATGTTCAGATTTCAAGAATGCTGGAGCTCCCCTGCCTCTATAGAGAAGTTTATGATAAACCTTTCCAAGGCCCTGAGGAAGGACAGAGGTAAATGCAGTATCCACACTGGTCTTGGGGCAAAGTGTGTGATCTTGTTGTTGTTTATTTGTTACTGTAATAACTGTGGAGAAAGATAGAACAGGGCCCTACTGTGACTTAGGTTCTGCACAAGCATACAGTAGCAGCCTGCTTTTCTCCCAAATAACTGATGATCCATACAGATAAGATACCGGTCCATAATGTGAGAAAAGAAATATAATGCTGAACCAAAGTGAGTTTTAGGAAGGTAGTAAAACACTGTGTACAGACCTCTTGTATCTAGTAAAGAATGATGGGGTTTGGAGCAAAATCTAGGGGGAAGGCCAAGAAATTAAATGGAGGGGTGTCCTTGCCTGATTTTGGCTTATTTTTTTAAGGATAAGGAGCTATTCCATCAAAATGCTCTGAACCTCTGCTGCCCCTGTCACTGTCAAACTACAAATGTATAATCTCAATAAACTGAGACAAATACCCATTCCTGTATTTAGTTTAAGGGTAGCTGGATGCCTGTTGGCAGGTCTGATGCATGTAGTGTGGTTTCAGAAGTTGCAGATCTTAAAATCACAACACTGTTGCAGCAAATGATTGAGAGGAACAGTTGGATGTTTATTGCATATGAAAATGGTCTGGTTTAGTTACGGTTTTAAATTCAGATTCTTTAAGACAGTAAAATATCTTTTGACTTTTGAAAACCAGTCTAGCAGCCTAACTTTAGATAATTGTTCTAAAAAAAGTTAGTAGTATATTTCTTTTGACGTGTTCTTTGTGTCCTTGTAGAGGCCTGGAGGGTCAGAATTTCTCAATCAATATGCTACATGAGAAAGTGAAAGGCTTTCTATTAGAAAACAGAATTCAGACCTTTTACCAACAGGAGCTGGAAACAATTGATACTCTGGTGTCGCTGGCTGATGTGCATCTACCCAGTCCCAGCTGTCAGGAGGTGAGTGAATGTAATTTTTTCAAGTTTTTAGGGGGAAGGGGAATAATACCATGTACTTTTTTTTTAAGCATGAACAACCAGATAAGAGACTAGTGCCTTCAGAGGATTCAAAAGCCACAAGTGCTTTAGCTTTATGCATGAATTATTCAGAGCTTGAGGAAACCTTGTCACTTGAGACAGAAGAAAGCCATATGAGAAAATTGTGTTGTTAAGGGTAATCTTGGTATTAGGGCTGAGTAACCTTACAGTCTTCAGCAGGCATTAACTTACCTAGATCTGTAAATAGTGGCAGTATCAGAAAAGGAGATCCCTTTGAGGCACTTGAGCTGTTTGGGACAGATGTTTGAGATCCTGAATTTGATCAGGAGAAGGGAGTACAAAGTCTTTGTCTTGTTTCTCGTTTGAAGCTCAATATATTAATAGAGATGTAGCTTTCAGAAGGAGGTTATAATAAGTGGATGAACAATGCTCCCTGCTACGTGTTTCTCTTGTTGGAAATCCCTAGTTGTGAAAGGCCATGATTGAAATGATCAGAAGGTAGGATTTAACTGAAATCAGTTTACATCCAGTTGCATGTAACCAAACTGTTAAGAAACTTCCCACTGAGATAGGATGCTTTTGATCAACTGCAGAATGGGAAGTAGAACAAAAAACATTTTGTAAAATGGCTTTATATTACTCCATGTTACTTGGATAAATTACAAAACAGATTGTCAACTGGTGTGAAGCAGTAAATCTCTGCAACAGTGAGAGTTATGGCTTTTACCATGTTAGCAATGGCAACTGAAACTTAAACTAGAGCATTGTGACTCACTTGTTTACTTTTTGGTTTTCTTTGGAGAAAGAAATCCATGGCAGTTATTTTCACTGCCTGATTCTGATATGCACTGTAAAGTTAAGTGCTATGTTATGTTAACTCTGATGTTTTTTTAATTCTTAAAAAAACCCAAAACACCAACACAAAACCCAGTCCCTTGTAGATGAAGTCACATAATAATGAAAAGTAGCTCTATTCTTGTTGGCTTCATTGAACTGCTTCTGATAGCTGCTTCTTCATAGCTGTTTCTTTTATTTTTCTTAAAGGCAGTTTTGCTGTTTGCTATAAAGCAAGCACGGACATAAACAGTAACAGGAGCTACTCTCATTTTTGACAGAAAACTTTGATACTAGTATATCCAACATGGGATAGGGTATTTTTTCTAAACTAGCCAGAACAGTATTAAAAGTTCCTAAACACTTTAGATTAAAGGAAATAGCGGTCATTGTGACTAATACTGGAAACTTCCATCTTTGAAGCTTCAGCATTTATAGAAAGATCAAGATTAATAACTTGTAAAGCCATTTAAAGCAGGAACTGGTGCAGAAGAAACATGGACAAAAAAACCAAACCAACAAAAACAACACAGCATCAGTGTTGTTAGCTGTCATGAGGAGCTATCATAATAATTAATAGTTGCTCCTGACCCTGATGCAAGGGTGTGAGTATATGTCCCAGGAATTTGGGCACACAGATGCTTATTTAGAAATTGCAGTTCTCCCTATTGCCCTTTGGTATTAATTCCTTGCAAAGAGGCTTATATATTTTTGCATAAGGAAGTACCTGCAGTTGTCAAGTGACCTGAATGACTTAAGAGGAGCACCTAATAATGCTCTACAAATGCATTTTGTTGTTCTTCTGCTCTGTCTCTTGAAGGTGTCCCTTCTCATAATTGGCAAAGGGTCGAGTACCCAGTTTGATCCACAAAAATAAGTGTAATGGGTCTGATTTCTGTCCCTCTTCCTTTCTTTTCCCCTCTGTAGTCTTCTGTTATGCATCACCCTCAAACCAAAAGTATAAAGGGTGCTGCTAATGTGGAACAATGTTATTTCATGCTTGTTTAGCAAGGCAGGAGCTAGATGAGTGGACAAAACTAATTAGGCCACACCACAATACACACACTTGTTCACTTCTTACACTTTTCCTGGATGTGAAAGGTTGAGTTATTTGGATGTATAACTTCATTTTTTTTTTACCCCGATTCCAGTGTTCTAGAGCACAGTTCCTATTAAATTCTCTTCTTGCCTTTCTCTTTTCTGTGTGATCCTAGGAGATGTGGTGCACTCCCTTCAGTTCTTTCCCAACTTTTAAAGTACTTCCACAGTGTTTATCATAGTGGGAGGGGATCTCCCCATGGAATATTTTCTCCAGGGAGGTGGTGAACTGTTATGGAGTCTCTGGCAGTGGAGTGGAGCAGGGGGTGAAGATGTAAGGAGGTAGCTTGAGGTAGGCAGCATCTCTCTGTTCCTTTTCAGCATTACTGTACGTGAGCCCTGTCCACATCCCGTACATGTCCTACAATACCTAGTTCCAGTCCTAATGGCTTCCTAGCAGTGCAGTCATCTGGCTCTCCAGAATAAATTTCCCTCTAGCAGATACACATGGCAGAACTCAGATCATGTCCTCTGCTCAGGCATATACTAGGGAACATGTAATTTTATAGTCTACAGAGGATGGGTAAGACAATTGGAAGGCTTGGTGTTTTTAAAAATAATTAAAAATTAACAGATCTGTTACAATTTTTAAAACCAGTGGAGCTTTATTTCACAAAACCAGTGCCCCCTGTATTGCTAAGCTGTAGCTTTTCTCTTATCTCTTAAAACAAGTAACTTTCGAGACTGGAGGAGTGGGTACCACAAGGAAGACTACAAATGAAAATCAGAAGTAGTAATCTTGTGCTTAGAAACCCTAAGTGTACTTGCTGGACTTAGGTAATTATGTTTGGCAAATGGACGTGCCTTTGGTTCCTTTTTTTTTTAAAGAAAACTATATGTGAACTTGGTCCATCAAGTTTCTGAACGGGATTAAATACGACTTGCAACCAGACAATCTTGATTAACGAATTTTATGCAATTCTACCATGCATAAGCTATAGTGTGTGCTATTTGAGTATTGCCATTCCAGTTTATGTATGTCACTAGCTTGGACACATAACTTAGGTTGTGCTTTCCAGACTCTGCTGTTTGTACTTCTCTTAATTTGAATATTATCTCAAGGTCAGCAGTGGCAAGTAGTAAAAGCAGGGTATCTTACAGTGTTGTTTGTACTTACCGTGTATACCCTGTACATTGTACTGTAGGTATAGCATAATGCAGTATACATTCTTGATGCTATATGCTTGTCTTCTTGTCTCTTGAGGAAGCTTCACTGCTACTTTAAATATGTATATTGCAAAGCTTATTATAGGACTTCAGGAATGACATGTCCAGAATCGCTATTACTGAAGTTGTCACCTGTCTAAGCCAAGGATTAAACATTGCTTGAGAAATTGCGAAGGGCAATTCCATGAGTAGAATCACGTGTGTGGTTATACCAGGAAACTTTAACACCATTAGGGTGTGTTGTGATTCATAATGAGCCAAAGGTTACATACTTTCAGTGTTTTTGAACAGACTGACTAATTCCTGTACTACTTCATTCTTTGACCTATTATTGATTGTACAGAGAGTTTGTCTTGTTTTAAAGATCTGAGAATAACTGGTTGCACAGCACCAGCCCACTAAGCTGTGTGAGATCCATCAGATGGAATATATTGATTAAAATATATACCAACTTAATTCTGGAGACATGGGTTCTCCTTGGCTGGTCTTAGGAGGGAGGGGAGTGATGATAAAATTGTTATTTAATATCTGCTTCTCTCTCTGTGGGAGGGAAAATGTGTTTTGCAAAAGTGATGAATGATTTTTGGATGCTCCTGTGTTTGGATGTACAGCTTCATTTACTTGAAAGGGACCTGATTCGGTAGAGGGAGGGAACCCCTGCTGTCAGCACTTCAGGGAACCTGAAATTGTGCACCCTGAAACTAAAGCATGCCGAAAGGAGGCACTTTGCAAAATGAGGTGTGAACATTGTGAGAGGCAAATTAAAAATCCAGATTCAAATCTTGCTGGCACTTTGGATCAGCAGTTAAACTACTTAATATCTGCGTTTCTCAGATTAAAAACTTTGTAAAAGTAAAGTGATGGCTAATAAGCTGTGACTCAGAAGGAACTACATTAACAGCTACAATGCATCTTTACAAATGTTGAAATGCAAGCATTTTTCTTTCTCATCCAGAAATAAAAACAGGGATGTGAAATCACATAGGATTTTATAGTCCTAGATTTCTTCTCTCTGTATAGACCCATGTTGAGTCTCCTGTAGATTTCTTCTCAGTAGACTAAATACCAAGCTTAGGTAAAAAAAAAGGTTCCAAGTCCAGAGGAAATGAGGGCCTGGTTTGGCATAAAAGAAAGTGATAAGGTATTGGGAAGAAGTACTATTGACTTATGAATTTGCAGGATGAGATGCTGGAGATATTTTGGGTGGACCAAAAGAGCAGATTGATTGTGTTCATAAAGAAACTCAATTGTTGATTTACTTGAAGGGAGGGAGAGGAAGATGTGTGTTCTGGAGCACACTAGGAAAAAAACCCCAAACTTTTCCTGTCATTTCAGGATAATGTTAAAGCCCTTGAAGAGGGCAGGAGCCCTCATTTTTTCTTCAGGAACAGTTGTTCTGCCATGGAGCCCTTTCCCTTGGACTCTTCAGCACGTATGAGAGGGTGCTGATATGTAGCAGCTGCTTACTTATTTTCTTGCTCCCAAGCCTGCCTCTCTGCCTTCGCTCTGTCAATGCCTTGACTTGCATTCTTAGTGATTCTGTTTCAGTATCCATCCAGGCTGAGCTGTGTGTCAGTTCATGCAGAGTCTGTTTCTAATTATCTCCCTTTTCTGACGGGATCTCAGTGTTAAGCCAAACTGAATAATTATCGTGCTTCTTTGGAGATATTTTTATCTTTTTTTTTCCTCCCCAAATGTTTGCTTTCACATTAAAAATTGATCAGAGTCTTGAGGTGGTTGCTTTGCTAGCAGTTTCTTAGATTCTTGAGGATTTATTACTGCATTTGAGTAAGAGGCAAAGTCTCTTCATTTTACATATGGCTATGAGAATGTGCTTTTCTATGAGAAAATATTCATTCTTCACTTAACCCTTCCTGCTACACTTTATGTTTGTTTGTTCAGTTCATCAGAAGAGGCACTGTGAAGAGAAATATGATAGTGGTATTAACGCTGTGACTGGAATGGTGTCCAGATGTACGGTTAAGTTTGTAATGAGAAGCAGTGTCTGTTGTTATCCAAACTGATATAGCTGTGGTGGACGGGGGACAGACAACGGTTCGGGCACTTGAGTCCTTCAGTCTGGAACAGAAGGAGAAAACTGAACTTAGAATAATAGCCATTGTTCTATGTTAATTATCTTGAACTATTAGGCAATTATTTTTGACTGTCGGTTTGAGAGGAAAAAGATAGCTGTCATGGGACAGAAAGAGAAAGATGTGATTATGGCCTGTTGAAATATTGAGGACTAGTGGAGGAAGGGGATGGAGAAACTCATGATATATGCTAATGCTAATATTCCTATTGGATCTCTGAGCTATTCCCAGTTAGGCACATCAGCTTCCAGGCTTAGAAGCAGTTGAGTTTCACTTGAGACTTGCAAAGGGATTGAATGAATGTTTTGTGAAAAGATATTCTTCCATTGCTAATGTGGTGTCTGTTTCACTCCCAAGGCTTCTGTGAGGGCACCTGGTGAATGAAGTAGGATATGTGAAGTCTGATACTTTTGTTCAGAACAGGGTGGGAGCATTTATGGTGATAGTTGAAGAAATGGCTTGGCAAATCTTGCTTTGGTTGCTCTGGTGTGGTTCTAGTTATCACGTGTTGGTTTGTGGGAAGCAGTTTAGCTCTATTCTCAAAGAAAACCACAGGGAGCACAGTGTGCTCCCAATAGATGGGGAAAAAACAACTGGGGAATTGAAGCCGTGCGTATAGATAAATGGGAGGTTGAAGGCCATAGTAGAACAGATAAAGATAGAGAAGAGTAAGTTGTGGTCTTGCTGTTGTCTACCCATACTTTCTGCTCCACAACTGATTCTTTATGTCTTTCCACTTCCCTAAGTGTCATTCCACTGTCTTAGCTCTGCTCTACTTCCAAACAAACCCTGCTTTTCCCTGATGTTTTTTTTCTCTCCCCTTCCTTCCTTCCTACTCTGTTAGATGTGTCCCAAATGCAGAACCCTTTGTTATAAATAACTTCCTCAGTTATAGACTTCCAGGCATGTTGTTCTCCTTTCACAAGAGACTCGTTTCCCACCTGCCCTCAAAACGGAATCCTTTGTTCCCTTATCCTGTATACCTGTCTTAATTTCTTGCATGCTCTTTATTCTTTCATTTTGTTAGGCTGTGGAGAGGCTCTTGAGAGCATGACCAGAAAGTGTGTAAAAAATCTGGAAATGAAGGGGACAACAAATACTATTCTTGCCAGTTTCCTCCTTTTCCTTGGACACTTCCTCAGTTTCAAATGGGGAGATGGGAATCCAATCCCTAGCACTTGGATTCCTCCTGAATATCACCTTACAAAGCACTGATCTCCCTATCTTCCTACCCTTATTACCAGGAAAACTCTGAATATGAGCAAAGCTTGATTAGCTAAACAGTCAAATGCTCTGTGAGCATCACAAACCTATTCCAAAAGAGAGCTCTCGGTACATAATTACATAGCTACTAAATTGAAAGGCAGCAGTTAGGAGATTGTGGTTCCTTAAGAATAGCACAAGCTTCTGGTGTTTGTTTTTGGTTTTTTGGGGGTTTTTTTTGGTCTTTTTTTAAAAAGCTCAGGGATGTTGGCTAGGTCATATGTAACAGATGTGATTTGTGAGTTATTAAATGAAGACAAATGTGTAACAAAATCTTTGTCTTGAAAGCATATGGAGTTTTTACTGGTAACTTTAGTTGAGCTGGGATTTCTCACCATCTGCTTCATTCCTTTTTTCCCATCCAGGTGAAGTCAAAAGGTGACTCCAGTTCCAAAAGGATTCACAGTATTTTTAAGGAAGCAATAAGGATGCTACAAGAAAAAGGGGTGGTCTTCCAGAAACCTAGTAGCTCCAAGGACTTATACCATGTAAGGAACTGAGCTGTGGTTGTAAACAAGTTCAGGAGTATGACTCTTATAGTCAGTAGAAAAGTTTCAGAAACAGTAGAAATGTTTTGGAAACAGTAGTTGGACATCCAAATGCTGTCTCTTTACTCAAAAGTCTTATCTGCATCTTACGTCGCTGTTGCTTTCACCTCTGTATCACCCACTGAGTTCTTTTTGTAACTCAGCACCAGATGTAAGCACTGCTGCTGTTCCAGGCATAATCTGTGTTCACTTGGTTGCCAAACTGCGCTGACACAGCTGAGCACACTGAAGCCTGGGACAGTTCTCTTTATCAAAGTGGGTTGAAACTTGGTGTTCTACTGAGTTGGTCACCCTCCTTTGGGTTGAATTCTGGTATATCATGTTCTTTGCCTAACTTACGGTTGCTGCTTAATGGTACTAAAAATAATAACTGAAGATTTAACATTTATTATTAGTCTCAGAGGCAGTATGTTATGCAGACTGTAGTTATGACAGTGTTAGTTTAGAATACATCATGGCCTTGGATTGCTTTCCAACAGCCATGCCATCTACTGTGAAATAGACTGCTATAAATTGCCAGTTTCTTCTGTTTTCTCCAGGTGACTGACCACGATAAGGAGCTGCTTAAAGTGACACTTGATGTGATTAAAGAAGACTGTCGAAAACCCAGGCGTAAGTAGCAGTGTGATTAGGGCTCTGATGAGCTGGTGCTGTTATATTGATGACAATATCTCTTCCTGCTGCTGGATTAGATATGCTTCTTGGCCTTACCCTTGAACTTGGAGCTAAGTTGCTGGTGTAGCTAATCGTTATAGCTAAAAGCGGGAGTGCTAGAGCAGCTTCTTGCGAGTGTGGAGAGAGAAAGAGCAGGTGTGCCCAGCAGGAAGCAAACATCTTGGATCTGAAATAAGCAGCCATTATCTTAGATCTATATCTTTTGAGAATACTTAGATTTTGGGAGGAACCAAATGTAATGAAGTTAGGTCAGCACCTAGCAGCTGTTGCTTTGCACTCTGGCTAAGTAGCAAATCTTGCTAGTTCAGTTTCTACAGGGGAGTTGACACAAGTGACCGTGCAGAAAGGTGAAATCCCCGCCTCCATTAAATCAACAACAAAACTTACTTAAGTCAGTAGGATATTCTCTGTAGATTTTTAAGCTTAGGTGGTTGTTCTTTGCACGTAGGGATTTCAGTCTCACAAAGTTCCCTTCTTTTCAGATAATGTACCTAGTGTGGCTTCTGAGTTATCCCTGTCCCTCAAGCCTATTTTGTCTTACTGCCATAGTGATAGCTTGTGCTTGACTTGAATGTCTGCTAATTACACAGGTACATTGCTACAGAGTTTCTTCCAATTAACTGTGCAGAATGTGTCAGCAGGGAGCGCCTGCTGCTGGAGCGCAGCTATTTGTGGGGTAGAATGCACTTTAGTACAGAATAAATGACTGACTAGAACATAAGGTTTGTAGTCTTAAGTTGCTCATATACTTATACTATCATAACTATAATAGTGCTTGTAGAACCTGGTATCTGATGGCTATCCTGAAGTGAAAAAAGGCTAAGTGAAGTAGTGTTATTTTTGAGTTTTCAACTAGCTACCTTAAGCAGTGGTACAACCATAGAGAAGGTTTGTAGGTGGAGGTAAAAGTTCCGTATCTTTGGGGAGGGAGTAATGTTGCTGGGGATGCAGGTGAAGATAGGTTCGTTTGCCTGAGGCTGTTTCAGTGCAACAAGTTACCATATCACATTGTTTTATTGTCTTTTATCCAATCAACAAATACAAATATCTTCTCTGTAAGAGTCAAATCATTCTTCTGCCCATTTTATACGTCAGGTAGTTCTCCTGGGGACCTGTTTGGGTTTTTTGGTTTTGGTTTTTTTTTTTTAAATAATTGTGACACTATAAAGGCCAGAACGTGTATACAATGACACAGGGCACTGAGCAACCGCCTGGTGTTTAACACCCCTGTTGTGCATAATCACACTGGTAACACTCTGTGCTCCATGAGAGGTTGGGAAGTTCTTTCTGCCAGTCAGGAGGAGTCAGCAGCAGAGAGAAACTTGTAGATCAGTCACAGAAGAGACTTTGAAGGGTCCTGAATCCTCAAAGCCATGTTTCCCCTACTGAGCAGGTTAAAATAGCAACTGTTTTACAGAGCCTCTTGTTCTCCTTGAAGCTTTCCACCTACTTAGTTTCCTGTTGTAAAAAGGACCATTTCCAGGTCAGTGTCTCTCTGCTAGTTTTCAGAAGGACCATTTCAATGTCCTTGTCACTGGTAATAGAAGATTTTGAGAAGGAAAGCTAAAAAGCTTCAGTCAAAACCAAGAGGGTACTGCGGATATTTTATTGTCACTGAATGATGGAAGAGTGCAGAGCTCAGTGTTACTGTCGGACCCCCTCTGCTGGTGGGATGGCAGTCTGAGCCACTGCTTGGCCTTGACTGGTGAGCAGGCTCATACAGAGAACATAAGAACGTGGTAATACCTCAAGGGCTTTTGCTTATTTGTCACAAGAAATTCTACTCATTTTCCTTCAAGAGTAATATTAATCTTCCTTGACAGGAAGACTGATTCATGATAAACTAAACTCTTCTCTCCAGTGAGTTACTTCTCTGCCAGTTTTCAAGGCAATGCCTCACCCCATTGCTTTAGTTGTGACATGTTCTCAGGTCCAACCTAGCTGCCTGGAACTATCATACAAATAAAATCCTCAGCATGCCTAGTCAGAGCTCCACAAACTCTGATCTGTAATATGCCTACATGACAGCCCTAGTCCTTGGCTCCAATTGTAATTCCGAACAGCCTGATCTTAAATGCCTTCATGCAAAGCCACTAGAGGCTTAAGATAGCCAGAAGAGGATGACAGTACATTTTGACTCCAGACTGAACTGCAAAATGGTAGACTTAGTCCAGATTTGTTTGTGGGTGGGGTTTTTTTGGTGTGGTAAGTGGTGTTTTGGTTTTTTGGTTTTGTTTTTTTTGTTTGTTTGTTTTTAAGAAATTTGCTCTGGTTTTAGGCTTAGATGAGGCTAATAGTAGAGAGGAAAAAAAAAAAGACCAGAACCACTTGAAGTTAAATTTACTATGTTAGAAGGGACCCTGTGTGAGATGTCCACAGTGGTCAAATGGTACTTGTTCTATCACTCTGCCCTCTCTGATATTGGTAGTCAGGCAAGACAGTTAATCACAGCCTGGCTTATGTCAACTGGTGGACAAAAGCTAGAACCCAGTCAATGAGAGAGGGACAGCATCGCTCCACTGCAAAGAGTGTATTGCCTCAAAGTTGGGCCATAAACTAGGAGCATTTCTGGGCTGCCGAATCATTGTACGTACCTGCAGCTACCCCAAAATGCCATTTCCTACCAACATCTTGGAGGAAAGTGTGTATTGTACTGTTGGGTAACACTTTGAGTCAACTAATCTAATTCATTGAGATTCATTCATTCTAAGTTACGGTAGATCAGGGATGGATGCTTTGACCTTCTTATGACAAACCTATGACTAATGCAAAATGCAGCTGCCCACTTTGTTTGCAATGAAAGTCACTATGACCAGGTAGAGGCACTGTTCTGTTCTCTGCAATTATCCATCCTAGGGTGGTGGATGCGTTTTTGGCTACCAGCCACAAAGGTCTTTTATCATGCTGGATCACTGACTTTTAAAGAAATATCTTTGCCTGATTCACAGGCCAATAGGAACTAGGCTGAGCTGTTTATTTACCAGTACTTGGTATTGCCTCCTATCTAACAGTGACTTTTCTCAACAGCTTCTAAAGCAGTTCTGGAGCTCAGCCGATTCTAGAGTAGAGATTGGCAAAAATAAAAATAAAGGCAGCAACAACAAAATACAGGAACCTCCCTGGTACATGGCAATTTCTCAGTAACCCTTATCAAACTTACCTTACATCATGTGAGCTGAGGGCTGAGGAGGAGGAAAGTTGTTTGTGCTGATGCATCTCATTTTTGCTAGTTTTCCATTGTTAGCTATGGAGAAGAAAGAAATCTATTGTGGAGTTCAGCGCTTTGGGAGACTGGGAGCCTGCAGCACTGATGAGTGGGTTTGCAGGGTCTGTTGACTGGGAAGCTGAGCTTCAAATGGTGGCTTCACCAGGCACGCAGTAGCTGCGTGCAATACTGCAGCCATTAAGGACCTTCATCTCTGGCTTGCCCTCTAGGAAAGGGGATTATTTTTACATTTATGTTCTCTTGTACATTTTCAGGGTTCATTCCTCTTAAAAGGACATAAAAAAAATGATACTGAAGTTCTGTGACTTTCTACTCAAGTAATTGTCTGCGTAGTCTTAAGCGCAGGGATGGGATTGCATTAGGTGAATGAAAGTTGCACTGTAGCAGTTTTTCCACAAGGTGCCAGCATTAGGCAAGCTGTTACAGGTCTTGGCCACGGACCTTCCAGTAATTGTCTGCGTAGTCTTAAGTGCAGGGATGGGATTGCATTAGGTGAAAGTTGCACTGTAGCAGTTTTTCCACAAGATGCCAGCATTGGGCAAGCTGTTACAGGTCTTGGCCACGGACCTTCCTTCTGTTCTAGATGCTTTTACAGTTGTGTATGAGCAAAAGGATTTTCATTTGGTTTCTTCTGCAGTTGCAGAAACTGTATAGCTTGCATAGGTGGACAGTGGAGGTACCCTTAAGTTATTAACCTCACTGTCAGGTTGTACTAAATGAGCCCTGTATGTTAAGAGCTTGCAAGACTAGTTATCTTTCACTGTCATTACTAGTGTTACAGTCATGACATTTCCCAGAAAAGTCAGTGGGGACAGTTGATAATTAGAGAACTGTAGGCACAGACTGGATCTCTTCTCTCTGAATACATGAGTCTCAGCTTTAGTACCTAGGGCATTCTTCCTTGCTGATAGCTGTGGTTTTTTTCATGACTAATCTGGTTTATAGTAATTAAAAAGAGGCAGTTAGACTGAAGTCTTTCTTCCGTGCCTGGCTGCATTTTCCTTTTTTTTTTTTTTTTTTTTTTTTTTTTTCCCCCTGCAGATGCTGAAAAAGGCTGCCATTTCCTTCATGTCCTGAGCTGTGTTCGGCAGAGCTACAACCCTTCCCTGGCTGAAGGGGTGATGCACCGTGTCTTGGAACTGTTGGAGAGTAACAGTGATATTGTCAGCACTATGGAAGGATATTATATGGCATTTTAAAGAGAGAAGATATGATACATTCATTCTGGTCCATTCAGCATAAAGGAGGGAAGAAGAGGCTGAGTGACCCTGAAAAGCTGCTATTACCTGGTATGATCTAGATGGGGGAAAAAAGAAAGAGCATTCTGATTCTCCAAACGCTGTTTTTGTCCAGCTCCAGAGAAGCTGTCCAAATGCTTTTTTTAATATTCTTGCTGACTTCCTTGCTGTTCCTAGTGAAAGTTCTATCAAACTGATTCTGAACATCGTAGTACAGCGGGGGAGCTGGAAAAGAAGCTGGGCTGGCCATCCTCACATCTACATCCAGTGAGCCCTAAAGAAAGGTTACTGCTAAAGAGTGCTGTTTACAGTAGTTGTCATGTTGGGACTTGTTTTTCTGGCTTAAAGAGTGGTCTTGTGATCTTTCCATATGGTAACAGCTGTGGATCTTTCTTTTTGTGTATACTTTATAATAGCTAGAGAAAGGACATGCCAGCAAACAATCAAAAGATTTTCCTGTCCTTCCTGGCAGTGTTGGTGTACCCATGTCTGTAAATGTGTTCCTGAATGTGCACATCCTTCCCACTACTAAAGCAGTCCTCACCTTTCTCTGAAAATTAATATTCAGGAATGGGGTCCTGCATCCCTTGCCCACTGCTTGTCAAGCATCTCTGGATTCCTCTGGCTACCGAGTGTACTACTGATAGATGGTGGTGTGGGTTCTGTTCAGACTAGAATTCTCAAAATCAGCTACCGTTTTGCTGTTTATTTTTAAATTGCTTCCTACATCATAAATGGTAAACCATAAATCAGATGCTTTGGAAAAGAAAATATGAAAGCTAGCAAGACCCACTGTAATCTCCATGCTTCCTGTTGCCTATTGTGTCTTCTATTCCTTGTCATCTTTGGGGAAAATACTATCTATATCTGTGCTTGCAGAGGAACACAAGACATTGATGAAATAACATAGGCCTAAAGAAGGTTACTGTGCAAGACATTTTATCTGGCATAATCAGAACTCTGTTATGTGCCACAGTTCAAAGCCCAGAGCTGTTCAGTATTTATCCTTAGAGAGGGTTGCTGCTGCAGGGGCTTGTCTGTTTAATTAATCTGCTTAATTAATGATGTGGAGGTGAGACCTTTAACTTGAAAAGATTGAATGTATCCTTCCTCTTTCTTCTGCACCTTCCCTGTAACAGTTGAAATAGCAGACTCCCAGGAGGCAGATGTAGTGGTAAAGCCCTATAAGGATTGACATAGCAGGGAAAAATAAACCATATGTATGAGGAAAGCCAGTGAGTAGCCCCATGTGTGCCAGGTCTCTGATTTGTTATACTATATGCCTCATTCCAAGCCCTGGCTGCAGTGAGATATAGGCTAAGAGAAAGGCATGACAAAATATTTGGCATTTACATTCAGAGGCCTGTGGAAAACTCTGGCCTTAAAGAGATGGTGCATTTGTCCATAGTGGAAAACTATGTATAAATCATTCTTTTGCTGTAAATTCCCTACTTGCTGCAGGGCTCAATAGTTGGTTTCCCTGCAAGCTGCCCTACTCCTAGTATCGCTGCTGTGTTTTGAGTTGGGTACCTTCTAGTTAGATCTTATTGTGGGCCTGAACAGATGCTGAAAGGATGTACCTGTGCAGAAGGAAATAAGAGAAGAGGATTAAGGATGAACTGTAGAAGTCTTCTCCCCTCCTCCCCGCCCTACATGGACATCTCTGGAAACAGGGAAAGAAGTCCAGATTCTGAGTGAAGTGGTACTGAGGGGAATTGCAACTCTAATTTATGTCCACAAAAAAAGTCTGGATGGCCACAGGGGAGATCTGCTTCTCAGATTCTTGCTTTGATTACTGATCAGTTTGATCAGCTTAAAAACAAAGGCTGTCTATGGAAGGAGTAGTTTGGAGTATTGATTCCTAAATTCAGACTCCCTCTAGGAGTTAACCATATGTTAACTGCTTGACTATGGAAAAGTCACCTACTTGGCATGAATTTGAGGATATTTTAAGACACGTATGTGTGGAAGAGCATGGTATCTAATTTAAGACTGACTTGGCTATTTTCAAGAAAAGTCCTCTATTAGCAGAATTTGATTTTGCTGGGAAAGGGTTAAAAGAACTCTGCTCAATGGGAAAGGTGATCTCTCTTAGGTTAGAAGAAAGACTCTGGTTCTCCTGAGAGTGTCAGCCGAGTGTGTGGGCTGGATGAGTTTTGGGAGGAGCACTGCATAGTTGAATCTTGGAGGAAAAGATAGTCTGGAGATCATATTGCTCTTTAGGGTCTCTTTAAAACAAGCTCGTACCAGAATAGGATTATGTCTTTGTCCTTTGCAGCTTGGATAGTCGTACACTCAGCACCTAATGTGTTCTGTTGTCTCCAACTTTGATGCTGTGCTTCCTGTGTTTTAGATGCATTTCTGTGTGTGAAGTCTGCCTAAAACCCCTGGCCAGCTATTTTCTATGCATTGAAGACTGAGGCGGACACAGTGTCTTCCCTCTCTGTTCTGTCCCTGTTGCAATTTAAAAGCACTGATCAACTGCAAAACATAAGAGATGAGGTGGAAAGAATTGATCTCCGGAAAGATGGAGAAGTGACTCTGGAATGGACATGTTCTTGGAAGTTTTAAAGCTGGTCCTTAATGGCTAGGCTGGACTCTTATGATTGAGGATACATTCTGTTGGAGATTTGTTCCCCAAGAACAGGAAAAGGGGATTTTTCTCACTTGTGTTAACTCGAGGAAATACAAATGGACGCAAGAGAGCCAACAGTTTTTACAAGATTGAAAGGTTAAAGTAAAACTAGTGGAGGAGCATAGATTTTTAAGTCACACAGATTCTAATTCTGAATAACTGTACCGAATAGTTGTGCCTTAAGCTTGCATTCTTTATTTTTTCCATGGTAGCGACCTAACACAGACTAACGCTACTCTGGTTGAGTGCATTCCCTCCCTGTACCTACAGGGAATACCATATGCATATGCCTGCACAGAAGTACCCCAACTAGCTGTGGGAGCACAGAGCGCACTGTAGGTTGATTTACCTATTTAGTCAGTATCTCTACAGTATGCTTCTGTGACAGCAGTCTAGACATACCCATATTGGTATAAGTCACCTTTATGTAAGTCTAACTACACACACTAGGGCTTTTACTGCTAATAAACTGTCTCTCTGTTTAAAGATCATATCCTTAACCAATAGAGTCATATCATGCACACTATTAAAATTCTTAGACTTAGACCACACCTACAAAATATTGTGCAGGACATTCAGTGAAAGTGCGCTTTCTTGTTTTGTTTAATTTGAAAACTCGTTAGGCAACACAATTATTACTAGTTTATTAAAGGACTTTGAAAGTAGCACTTTAATGTAAAACTGACAAGTGAGAATTCATGTTGTAGGACTGCTTCATGGCCAGTTCCAGTTTCCATAGAAACTGTTACAGCAGTAAAAGGCAGGTAAGTAAAATGGAGTTTTTAAAAGCAGTCAGCATTTCTATGTTATGTTAAAAAGGTATGTTTCCATAGAAATGCAGCACCTGAGAACAAAAATTACCAAAGAATCTTAATATTCTATTATTGCAAATGTAAGATGATTGCTTTTCTGGTGAGGAAACGAAAGAACAACTCTACCTTCAGTCCCTGCCATCTGCTTAGGCAAGAGAAGAGATGAGGTTGTTTCATGCCTTGGTTTCCCTCTTTTGTAAATTGGGGATAATACAGCTCCCTGTGTAGGGCATAAACCTCAATTTTTCTTAATGTTAGTCATTAAAAGCTCTTCAGATCTATTGGTGGGAGCTGTCAGAGAACTCTGTGGGAGTGGATGTTGGGATAGATGCTGGACTGAGATTTAGTTCTAGTCCAAGACCCCACTTTTGCCAATAGCTTTATCTTTTTCTGTGTCTCTTCCCGTGCATATTGCTTGCCTGTCTTGCCCTTTTGCTTTCAAAAGCAATGATGGTCTTCCTGGTTTTATTTGTACCAAATATTTTTCTTGGAATCCTGTTCCCTCTTACAACTTCTTAAATGAGTTCTTAAAAATAGAAATCTAGGTAAATGAGTTCTGAGTGTTCTTGTTCTCAAATCTTTGGATTGTAAATTTGTACCCATGAGGGTATGTATTTTCAACAAGTTACCTGGGAAATGAAGCTTTTCTTTCAAAACAATAAATTAAAAATTTAAAGATTGGCTACGTGACTGAAAGCTGTTACTTTTGTGGATCTGTCCATACTTGTGTATACCAGTGATGAATAGCATAAATAGAAGGAATTGCTAATTCATTATTCAGAATGAGAATTCATTAATAAGCAGCCAGCGAGGCATGGAGCCACATGGAGAATTATGAGACAAAGTACTGAAAATCTGCTTGTCAAAGAAATGCAGTTTGGTTTACTTTGGGAGTAAGCTGATCCTGTGGGGAAAAGATGTGCCTAGCAAAGATTTGTATCTTTATACTTACCTCTTGAAGGGAAGGGAGCAAGTTCAGATCCCATGGGCAGCCTGAATTTTGAAACTTCCTGTCAGTGCGGCGCTACATTCTTTATTGCCATCTTTCAGCGCAGTCTCCAGCCCTCCTGCCCCAACCCTACAGGCTAGAGAGCAAAAAAAAGTTCAGCTGCAGAGATAAAAGAATAGTTATAATAATTGGTCACCATCCTCCAGGAGCCCCAGCATTACAGAAACATTTTTGTGGATGTTTGTTGGCAGCAGGGAAATGCTGAGTTGGGGATCTTGGGTTTCATTCCCAGCAATGTGCCCTGTCAGGCACAGAGGCTTTCCCCCTAATTTCTTTCATCTATTTCTGCTCTCCACTCCTTTCTCTTAACTGTCATTTCTCAAGCCCTTCATTTCATTCACAGTCTCATGGTTCATCTCTGCACCATGGATCCTGGTCAAACCTCCTTCCTTTCTACTTTGTTCCCTTTTTCTTTCCTAACTCAAATATTGTTGTCAGCATCTGGCAATTGAAAGTTTCAGTATAATCCCCTTGCCTAACTGACCTGGCACTGCTCACAGCCTGTTCCGATTCCAGCAGGCTGTGCTTTGCTCCTTGTTTAGGCAGGTATCATCCACTTCACTTTTGAGCTTTCTTCCCCATGTAGTTTGCAGGAGGAAAGAGCTGCAATTTCAGGACAACAATGCTTTTTTCATCCCACCCTCCCAAAGACCCAGTAGCACCCTCAAAGATTCTAGTGGTGGTTTTCTTGCAGGTATCCAAGTAAAAAATATATATAATTGAAAAATAAAACACTTGTGTCTTGCCCAAACCTGAGCAAGCAC